GATAGAATGATAGAAAAACTAGTTCTGACTAATCAGTATGCAGTTTAGTGTTTAGTTATCATGACATTAGTTATACTGTACAGGTTGTAAGATCTGTTAAAGAGTCCAAGTTCAATGAGCATTTTTTGTGCTTCATACAGTCAACCATCAGAAACATTCACCCAATCTCACTGCTGCCTTTCTTGGCATTTCCCATAAATCAACCAATTCTACCTAGCAGCAAACTAATGAGAAAGTGCCAAATCTAGTGTCCAGCTACATTCTCACCCCATCAGTGTCTCACTTCATTTTTGCAGCAAATACCAGCTATTCAATTAAAAAAGAAGAAGGTGAAAATGTTGATTTCTGGCAGTGGATGTTAGGGAATATTATTAAGATTTTTTTTTAAAAAAAAAATGTTGATACAATATGAAGACACTGTATAAAATATTCATGCTAGCCAGAAGAAAGGGAATCTGGAAATCCAGTGGATTGGTAAAAGCAGACTTATCAATAGTAGGTGATATTTAACTTTCATGTTTAATGTTATATTTGCTAACTATTGCAGCATTTCTTGCTGAATCTCAGTGAGTCAGAAGTCAGTTGACTCAGTTGTACTATTCCTGAGTTGTTGCAAATGCCCAAGGGTCTTCAGATCGCTTGAAACTTGTCAATTAACTTTGGGGATGCAAAAAAAAAAAAAAAGATATCATGACAGCTGTGACTACAATTTACGAAATAAACATAGAGTTGAGAGCTCCTGTTTAATAATTCCTCAAGATATTCCATTTTACTCAATCTTTTCACCACCATTCTGCTCCCCCAACAACAAATCAATAATTTTGAAGCATTGGAAAGAGTGGGATGCAAGCCTGAAAAAGGTCCCTAAGAATATAAGAAGTTAGTTACTTCTTTCATGTTGGAGAGTTAGTGTGGTGTAGTAGGTAAGATGCTACATTTGTAATTGGAAAACTATAAGTTTTAATTCTTCCATTTGGTATGTGTTTAATCCACATTAGAAGTACCTTCCACCCATTCAGTTTTTAAAGATTTTTTTCCTATTCTGCTTATCATTGGGATGTATTCCTCTTGTTTATAAAATGTATTGTCAGATTGGCCACATCTGAAATGGGGTCAAAGAATGAAATCAATTGTTGATCAGTTGCTGTACAACTGCATTACTGAAGTCATTTCTCCCCTCTTCATTTCTCCCCTCTTTCCTGTTCAGGGGAAGCTTTCTGTACTGCTAAGAGAGATTTCTATAATAAATGCTTTCCAAGATTTAACTTGACTCATTACTCAAAAATAAATCCTGTCAATTCAGTGGAACTTGCTTTTAAACATGCACAGGACTCTATTATTATTGTTAAAGCACAAATATGCACTTGAGCATGACTTATAACTTCTTGTCTTCCAGAACATCCAGTAATTGTAGACATTTAATTTTTCTCTGGGTACCAGCTAAAAATAAACCTTTATAACATAAGGGTTGTTGATACAGAGAAAACTTCCTCGTCAGCTTCACAAGCCATAAATTTGTGGGCAACCTGTGATTCAGTTTCACATATCTTCATTTTACAATTAACAGTTTTAGTGTAAGAAAAGGAAAATATCCCTTTCCATGTTACATTTTTTATTCAGATTCAATGTTTTCTTTTCAACATCATCAAGACATTTTATTTAAAAAAAATCTGTAACAAAAGACAATTATTCACACAACATTAGACAATTGGTCTATGTATACCAGTGATAATTGTTCTCCAAATTTTCAGAGTGAGATATTTTCTTAAAACTTATTAGAGACGCCAAGGACTGATTCTAGCAACTGTTTAAACAATAATAAAAGATAATAGAAACAAAATTCCAAAAGGAAAATTAGGGAAAAAACAATAGAAAGGGCACACATCTTTTAAAGAAAAAGGGGGAAAAATAAGGGGGGGGAGAACTATTAGTTTAAGGAAATGACTTCTGATCACTATAAAATCATGAGGAACTTCCAATAACCCACATTTTAATCCTACACAAATCAATAAATCGTTAACATTTCAGTCCTGGTGTCACTAAAAAGCCCATACTGGTTCCTGAAATTTCATAGAAACAATTCTTAGCTTAAGTTTGATCTAATGAACAAGCTTCCTAACAGACAGGAAGCAGCAGGTGAAACTAGGCAAAATCACATCTGATACCTGTACAATTAGCATAGGGCCCTCCCAAGGCTGTGTGCTTTCTCCCCTTCTGTTCTCCCTATATACCAATGACTGCATCTCAAATGATCCATCTGTTAAGATACTGAAGTTTGCAGATGATGCAACAGTGATTGGTCTCATTCGAGACAATGATGAATCCGCATACAGATGGGAGATTGTACAACTTGCCTTGTGGTGTAACTGGAACAATCTGGAATTGAACACAATCAAAACTGTAGAAATGATGGTAGACTTTAGGAGAAACCCTCCCATACTACCACCTCTTACAATACTAGACAACACAGTATCAACAGTAGAGACCTTCAAATTTCTAGGTTCTATCATATCACAAGACCTAAAATGGACACCTAACATCAAAAACGTCATCACAAAAGCACAACAAAGAATGTTATTTCTGCACCAACTCAGAAAGGTCAAACTGCCCAAGGAGCTGATGATACAGTTCTACAGAGGAATTATTGACTGTCATCTGCACCTCTATAATTGTCTGGTTTGATTCTGCAACCCAACAAGACAGACACAGACTTCAGAGAGTAATTGGGAATACAGAAAAAAAAAATATTTACTATCAACCTGCCTTCAGTTGAGGACTGGTATATTGCAAGAGTCAAAAAGAGGACTGTGAAAATATTTACAGACCCCTCACATCCCAGACATAAACTGTTACAATTCCTACCCTCAAAATGATGCTATAGAGCACTGCACATCAGAACAACTAGACACAAGGACAGTTTTTTCCCGAATGCCCTCACTGTGCTAAACAAATAATTCCCTCAACACTGTCCAACTATTTACAAAGTCTGCACTATTACTATTAATCTTCTCATCACTCCTTATCACCCATCCCCTCCCACTTGTGACTGTATGATTGTAACTTTATCGCTTGTTTCCTTACGATTTATATTGACTGTTTCCTAGTATGATTTGATTGCTTATTGTACCCAATGACTATTATTAAGTGTTGTATCTTAGGATTCTTGATTCTTGATGAATGTATTTTTTCTTTTATATACACTGAGAGCATTTGCACGAAGACAAATTCCTTGTATGTCCAATCACACTTGGCCAATAAAGAATTCTATCTATCTTTCTAACTTTGTACCCTTTCCTTTTGCTTCCAGAAATTTTGATCTTTAATCCATTGAGATGTTGTCGTAGGATTTGATCTCTCTTCAGATTTTCACTTTTTTCATCTCAAAATCTTCTCCAAGCAAACCTGTTTTATATATCCAATAAGTAGTCATTATTCAGGTCATTCTTTTGGTTTGTCATATGTATTTCCACTTTGTCTGTAATCTTGTTTTATAATCCACAATTTCCCAGTATTTCAACAGTTAATTTATATTATTTCTGCATCTGATTATTTTTGTGTTAGCTCTTTGTCCTATAGATCTTCCAGCATATTTTTCTTCACATTTGTTATAACATCTGCCATTTCTTTTTTAAATATATTTTGAATATAGTCTATTAATAGAGGCAGACATCATTGCTGATATTGTAGCTGCTAGTTTTTATTCATATTCTTCAAATATTTTATCCATATTCTCCTGGAGTATTTCAAGTGTCCCAACATTTCCTGTCACTTTGTCTCAATGTTCTTTCTTTTCTTCTTCCTTTTACAGTTGTACTCATAAGTTTACATACCCTGGCAGAATTTATGATGTCTTGGCCATTTTTCAGAGAATATGAATGATAACCCAAAAACTTTTCTTTCACTCATGGTTAGTGTATGGCTGAAGCCATTTATTATCAATCAACTGTGTTTACTCTTTTTATATCATAATGACAACAGAAACAACCCAAAAGACCCTGATCAAAAGTTTACATACCCCAGTTCTTAATACAGTGTATTTCCCCCTTTAACATCAATGACAGCTTGAAGTCCTTTGTGGTATGTGTGGATGAGGCTCTTTATCTTCTCAGATGGTAAAGCTGCCCATTCTTCCTGTCAAAAAGCCTGCAGTTCCTGTAAATTTTTGGGCTGTCTTGTATGAACTGCACGTTTGAGATCTCCCCAGAGTGGCTCAATGATATTGAGGTCAGGAGACTGAGATGGCCACTCCAGAACCATCACTTTATTCTGCTGTAGCCAATGACAGGTTGACTTGGCCTTGTGTTGAGGATCATTGTCATGTTGGAATGTCCAAGTATGTCCCATGTGCAGATTCTGGGTTGAGGAATGCAAATTTTCCTCCAGTATCTTTTGATAACATACTGCATTCATCTTGCCATCAGTTCTAACCAAATTTCCTGTGCCGTTGTAGCTCACACGTCCCCAAACCATCAGCAATCCACCTCCGTGTTTCACAGTAGGAATGGTGTTCATCATAGGTCTTGTTGACTCCTCTCCAAATGTAGCAGTTATGGTTGTGGCTAAAAAGTTCAATTTTGGTCTCATCACTCCAAATGACTTTGTGCCAGAAGATTTAAGGCTTATCTCTGTGCTGTTTGGCGTATTGTAAGTGGGATACTTTGTAGCATTTGCATAATAATGGCTTTCTTCTGGCAACTCCACGATGCAGCCCATTTTTCTTTCAGTGCCTCCTTATTGTGCATCTTGAAACAGCCACACCACATGTTTTCAGAGAGTCCTGTATTCCACCTGAAGTTATTTGTGGGTTTTTCTTTGCCTCCCAAACAATTTTCCTGGCAGTTGTGGCTGAAATTTTTACTTGGTCAACCTTACCATGGTTTGGTTTCAACAGAACCCTTCGTTTTCCACTTCTTGATTAGTGTTTGAACACTGCTGATTGGCATTCTTGGATATCTTTTGGATATCTTTTTATATCCCTTTCCTGTTTTATACAGTTCAATTACCTTTTCCTGCAGATCCTTTGACAATTCTTTTGCTTTCCCCATGACTCAGAAGCCAGAAATGTCAGTGCAGCACTGGATGAAAGATGCAATGGTCTGTCAGGAGTCCAGGAACTCACTTACCTTTTATATACACACACTAATTACAAGCAAACAGATCACAGGTGAGGATGGTTACCTTTAATAGCCATTTAAACCCCTTTGTGCCAACCTGTGTGCATTTTATCAGGCCAAATTCACCAGGATATGTAAACTTTTGATCAGGGTCATTTGGGTAGTTTCTGTTGTCATTATGATTTAAAAAGAGTAAACACGGTTGATTGATAATAAATGGCCTCAGCCTTACACTAACCATGAGTGAAAAAAAGTTTTTGTATTATCATTCATTTTCTCTGAAAAATGACCAAGAAATCATAAATTCTGCCAGGGTATGAGCACAACTGTATACCTGGAATCTTTAGTCTCCTCTAGAACCTGGGAATGCAGTGAAAAGAGGAGTCAGCCTAATATCCCTAAGTAGCCATAAGGAAACTAAATCTAACCAGTGGTGGGATTCAATTTTTTTTTACTACCTGTTCTATGGGCGTGGCTAGGTGGGTGTGGCAGGGGAAGGATATTGTAAAATCTCCATTCCCTCCTCACCCCACTAACCTGCTTTCCAGTTCCGTTCTCCTCTGCAGGGCAACAAAAGAAGACCCAGCCAATCAGCTGGGACTTGGGAGGCAGAGAATAAATGGGGGCTGGGCCAGTCAGAGGTAGTATTTGCTGGTTTTTTGAACTACTCAAAATTTCCGCTACCAGTTCTCCAGAACTGGTCAGAACCTGCTGAATACCAGCTCTGAGTCTAACCCCTTTGAGTGTCATTGACCCTTATCCAATTTTAAGCAGGTGCTGACCATTAGTTGAGAAGATTCCTATGCATAAGTTTTTGCAATAAATCAATTTAATTGAACCTTCAGGTGTAGATCTGTCTTTCAAAATAGTATCCAATTTCTAAAATAATAACTCTCAAATTTATTTTATGACAAGATAAAGAGTTTAGTTCTCACAAAGGTGCTGTTTATTTAATATAATTATTTTCAAAGAATTATAACAAAAGTCCTCATGATCCACCTCCCAGTGCTTAAACCATTTTTTCATGGTCTTCTCATGAGCAGCAGTTATCATGAGCATTAGTGGATGATCTTCCATTCTCTTCTTATCCAGAGAGGTTTTATGGGAGTGGTCTATTGTCCAGTCCTTTGTTCATGCCACAACATTATTTCCATTCATTCAGACATATGCTAATTCTCCATTCCTCTCTTGGAAATACTCAACATTTCTTGAGATTAGTAGCAATCCAGGTTTGTGAAAAATCAAAGAAAATTTTAACTTTTCCACCACGTAGAACAGTTGGAAAATATTTTACAGATTTACTGAAGTCACTACAAGAAAGCAATAACCCTTTTCCAGATACCTGTTGGAATTAACATAGTTTCTACAGACATCAATTAACAAAAACTAATTGTTCTAAAATTCTACGCATCTAAGCAAGGGAGAAAGGAAGGGATGAGAAGCCTTAATGGTGGGGAGCAAGATGCAAAGAAACAAAAGTCTTTTAGAGATAATGGGTAAACTTTATTGAAAAAGGGATTCTGGAAAGGTACATAAGATTGTATTTTTATATTTTTACTTAGAAATAATTTTAGAAAATTGGAAACAATATGCAATTTAAAATGTGATAAAATATTTAGTATAATTTAGTGAAATTTTTGTTAAGAAAAGGGGAATACCTTAATGAAACAATGATTTAAGATATGTGATGTGATGGGGGGGGGGGTAATTTTGGAAAGCATGAGTGTTTCCATAAAGGTATGATGTTTAAGTGAAATGGGTAAAATGCTTAAGAGATAAATGATTGTTAATATTAATGATTAGACTATGTTATCCTAGTGAAATTTTTTGTGAAATGAGAGATTTGAAGTAGGAAATGGGGGAACATTATAATGAAATAATGATTTATAATATGTGATGTGGGGGGGGGAATAATTATGGAAAGTAGGTGCTCCCATAAAAGTATGTGATTTAATTGAAAAGTAATGTGCTAAGTGTTTAAGATATAAATGATTATTAATATTAATGAATAGATTTGTATTGGTATTGATAATATTGTATAATTTTAGAATGTACCAGACAGAATCCCAATGTAAGCTATGCATTCTATATTAAGTATTATAAATGTAGGGGAAAGAGATAAAGGCGTCATACTCCAATTAGTGTACAGGAGAAGTTTTTCTTTAAAGAAGAAAGATAAATGGATAGCTGGAAATAGAACAGACAAAGAATAATAAATATTATGACTCGAATTGAGATGAGATAAATAAAATAAAATTAAGAAAATTTAAAAGAGAGGAGAAGCTATATAGAAAATTGAAAATGCTAATAAGATATGGAATGATATACAAAATGAACATGAATTTGAATTGGTGTCTGTGCCAAGAGTTTTAACCCGGGACTAAGCAACTTTCAGAAAAGAGGTTTTTTATGTTTTTATGTTTTGTGTTTATGTGTGTTTATGTTTGATTGAGCTAATAAAACCTTGGAGGAATGTTAGAAAAGGATAATGGAGAATAAAAGATAGAAGATAATAAAGTAAGCCAGAAAGGAAAAATAAATATAGTGAATAAAAACATATAAAATAGATAACTATAGAAAAGAAATATAATTGAATGAAAGTATAAGGAGAAATAATGAGGAATATGAAAGGATATATATGTGTTTATAAGGAGATGTGTCAATGATGTATAAAATGTTTTATTTGCTTAGAATTTACAAACAACTTTCAGAAAAAAGGTTTTATGTTCTTACGTTTTATGCTTTGTATGTCTTTAAAAATTAATAAAATTTGTTCAAAAAAAAAAAAATTTCTACGCATCAAAATGATTTACAGAAAAGTTGCCTTGAGGCCTTAGCTTAGATCCACATTTTACCATGTTTTCTGTAGATTTTATAGCGGAGAGGAGGATAAACATCTTGGAGCTGAAAAAACTCAAGCTCTTGTCTGCTGAAACAGGCTGGTTATTAGGAGCCTGTCTTCCTCAGCACTCTTTTGGTCTTTTTCTTCCTTTGCTGATTCATCCTCAGCTGTAGTTCAAGCAAACGTTTCTTCAAACCAACCAACAGATATCAAGTTGCCACTGCAAACAAACTGCAAAGAACCTTCTTTGACCACATTCAAACTTTTTCAGGAGAGAAAAGGAAAGAGATTCTTACATGCACAATTCAAGAGGCACTACCTGGAAGGAAGCTCCCCTGGAGAGCAGCAGGCAAGTAGGCTTCTCTGCTTAACTAAGATTAAGTTAGCCTATTCTAATTATTACCTTTTCCACCTTGGTGTCCTTCAGATGGAACTCTTATGATTATAATTCCCAGTCAATGTTCCAGTTATGGGAGAAGGAATGTTAGGAATCACTATACATCTTTCACTCTTACCAATTTAACAAGATTATTATGAGAATATACTTCCCTGAACTTCAAATTAAAACTATATTTGAATTCCATTTTCAATTTGATTTTGATAAAGGGAGAAGGAAGTGATACTAATGCCAATCTTTTTAGCAACTAATTCCATCAAAGTTCCACTCCTATAGAAATCATCCTATAAATCTTTTACCAGGATGCATCTATGGGAAAGTTAAGGTTCTAACATACTGAAGAATGAAGTTGTTTAGATTTCCTGGATGGATGGTATATAAATATAATAAACAGCAAACTTTTTTTTTTTTACTTTTGTACATCACAAGAGGATGTGGGGACATTTTCTAATGAACAGATTCAATGTCATCTGGATAACAATAAAATCCAAAAAGGTTATCAGTGTCTTAGGTGGATACATTCAAAATACCCCTTTTAGCTGTGTATTAAAAGAAGAGGGTAATGCCTTTCACTGAGGAACTTCATGGTTTCCCAGGACACAGTTTGAAAGCTACATTTCTATTAAGCAATGGGGCAAATGGGATGTTTCAGATAGGAATGATCATTTAGAGGCCATTCTCCCTATCTCTTTGGTGCCCAGTTGGCAATATAAAATATTCAATCTGTACCAGATGGGAACTTCTTGACACAACATTAACTTTAGCGATGCACAGATTTTGTTCTCTAATATATTCTTCTGGTTAATTTTTCAACGTCAAGTTTATAGTGTTCTGTCTAGTTTTCTGGATATTTTGTCTGGCTGGAGTTATGAATTGCTAATTTTAATGGATGTAAAACTAATGGAACTGAGAGAATGATTCAATCATGTAAGTATTCAATTTTTGATTAAGATGCCAAATACAATAAACTGCAGGTTGGGGTGTCTTTGATCTCTCTCAAAAGGAGGAAAAATATTGTTATCATTATTTCAATTTTATCTGTCTGTATCTCAATGAAATCTAACTATCTAATAAAAACATGCAACTTCATCTAGCAACATAATGTGGTTCTGCCATGTTTGATTAACATGACAGAGTTCAAATCATAATTTGCATATTTGCTGTTGTATCTCATTTATTCAGAGTCCCTCTGTTTTCTGATCGGGAAATGCTATGGAGAAACACGCCACTATTTTCCATTGCCAAGGCCTTAGTATAGTTCCAGGCAGAGGTCCATCTCTCCAACTCCCTCAAACTAATGTTTCAGTTTGATCAGCAGCTTTTAAAAATTAGGCACCTCTTTATAAAATTAGCAGGTTGATATGGAAGCTACCTTCTTTTGGCTTATGTTTGCAGGTTTCCAATAACTTTTGGTGAGATGGTGGAGGGGACAGTCTATTTCCCCTTCATTTAGTTTTGTAGGAAAACTGAATGAATTTGTTTATTCTAAAACTGTAACTTCTCTTATATATTCCAATTACACTCAGAACTACCACCACTTTCTACATACAAAACATATACACAGAGGAATACAGTATGTAAGACAGCAGAAAGTCCTTTGTGCAGTGTGGGCTGAATTTTTAATCTTATTTGATGATTTGGCAAGTGATCCCCAAAAGATTAAGTTTAACTATCCTGATGGATTTTGTTCAAGACTTCTCCTTATCCTCCTTCTCCTTTAACTATCCTGATAGGCTTTTGTTCAAGACTTCTCCTTATCCCAAAGGAGGGGCAGAATTATTTTGCTTATATATGAATTTTTGAGATGTTGATATTACAGTCCCTTAGTACAGTGATGAATGAAGAATTAATATTTGTATGAGGAGACCATATGCTGCTATTCAGCTGGCAGACTGTAGGGAAATGTTCTAAGCTTCAGATGTGCTTCATAAAGAATTTCAAGTTAATCCATAAAAGGTGACTACACTTTAAGAAAGCCCAGAACACCACTACATTTCAAAGACAACAATTATATTTGGAATTGAAATCTTTCCTTTTCTTTTCTTTTCTTTTCTTTTCTTTTCTTTTCTTTTCTTTTCTTTTCTTTTCTTTTCTTTTCTTGGCTCTGTAATCCCAGCTGCACTGTCAAGCCTTCCGATGAACATCCAGAAGGATTGAAAATGGTAAGAGAAAGCAGCTCCACATGTGGTCCCACTCCTTTCTCCTCCCTGGCCTCCATGTATTCCGTTAGAAGCTGCTTCTGAATTACACATTCTTAGGAAATAGTCTCCCAAGTGAAATGAAGCTGCAGTTGTGTTCAAGCAGATGAGATTACAGTTTTCCTCAGTCCTGTAGTGGAATTTATGGAAGCCAGGGACAGAAAGAGGCAGGCAGGCAGGGTTATACAGGTGAAACTCAAAAAAATTAGACTATCGTGCAAAAGTTCATTTATTTCAGTAATTCAACTTAAAAGGTGAACCTAATATATGAAATAAACTCATTACATACAAAGCAAGATAGTTCAAGCCATGATGTGTCATAATTGATTATGGCTTACAGCTCAAGAAAACCCCAAATCCACAATCTCAGAAAATTAGAATATTGTGAAAAGGTTAAATATTCTAGGCTCAAAGTGTCCCACTCTAATCAGCTAATGAAGCCATAACACCTGCAAAGGGTTCCTGAGCCTTTAAATGGTCTCTCAGTCTGGTTCAGTAGGAATCACAATCATGGGAAAGACTGCTGACCTGACAGTTGTGCAGAAAACCATCACTGACACCCTCCATAAGGAGGGAAAGCCTCAAAAGGTAATTGTAAAAGAAGTTGGATGTTCCCAAAGTGCTGTATCAAAGCACATTAATAGAAAGTTATGTGGAAGGGAAAGTGTGGAAGAAAAAGGTGCACAAGCAGCAGGGATGACCGCAGCCTGGAGAGGATTGTCAGGAAAAGGCCATTCAAAAGTGTTGGGGACTTTCACAAGGAGTGGACTGAGGCTGGAATCAGTGCATCAAGAGCCACGACACACAGATGGATCCTGGACATGGGCTTCAAATGTTGTATTCCTCTTGTCAAGACGCTCCTGAACAACAAACAACATCAGAAGCATCTTACCTGGGCTAAAGAAAAACAGAACTGATCTATTGCTCAGTGGTCCAAAGTCCTCTTTTCTGATGAGAGCAACATTTGCATCTCATTTAGAAACCAAGGACCCAGAGTCTGGAGGAAGAATGGAGAGGCACACACTGCAAGATGCTTGAAGTCCAGTGTAAGGTTTCCACAATCTGTGTTGATTTGGGGAGCCATGTCATCTGCTGGTGTTGGTCCACTGTGCTTCATTAAGTCCAGAGTCAACGCAGCCGTCTACCAGAAGATTTTGGAGCACTTCATGCTTCCTTCCACAGACGAACTTTATGGGGATGCTGACTTCCTTTTCCAGCAGGACTTGGCACCTGCCCACACTGCCAAAAGCACCGAAACCTGGTTCAATGACCATGGGAATACTGTGCTTGATTGGCCAGAAAACTCACCTGAACTGAACCCCATAGAGAATCTATGGGGAATTGCCAAGAGAAAGATGAGAGACATGAGACTGAACAATGCAGAAGAGCTGAAGGCTGCTATTGAAGCATCCTGGTCTTCCATAACACCTCAGCAGTGCCATAGGCTGATAGCTTCCATGCCGCACCGCATTGAGGCAGCAATTGCTGCAAAAGGGGCCAAAACCAAGTATAATGCATGATTATACTTTTCAGAGGTCTGATATTGTTCTATGTACAATCCTTGCTTTATTGATTGCATGTAATATCTAAATTTCTGGGATTGTGGATTTGGGGTTTTCATGAGCTGTAAGCCATAATGATCACAATTATGACACATCACGGCTTGAACTATCTTGCTTTGCATGTAATGAGTCTATCTCATATATTAGCTTCACCTTTTAAGTTGCTTTACTGAAATAAATGAACTTTTGCACGATATTCTAATTTTTTGAATTTCACCTGTACTTCCAATTATTCCATTTTAACCTTGCATTCATTCACCAGATTTTACCAGCTGTCCTGCAGCATCTAAGTGGTATATTATTATTGGTGGTTATTGTACTAGAGAATTTGAATTGTTGACTCCTATTTTTTTTTTGTCAACTAGTCATCATGTTAACAAGTATGGTGCAGTGGTTAAGGCATCAGGTTAGAAACCAGAAAACTTTGCATTTTAGTAGCACCTTAGGAACAGAATCTGTTGGTTGACCTTGGCCCAGTCATTCTCTCTTAGCTCTAGGAAGAAAGCAATGGCAAACCACTTCTGAAAAACCTTGCCAAGAAAACTGCAGGAATATGCCCAGATAGTTTCCTAGAATTGAATCTGATTAAACAGAACAAGAAAAACCAGTTGTCATCTTTCTTTGCAGGGTTGAGTTAAAAGGGACTTTAGAAGTTTCTTTTTAGTTTAGTCACTTTTGTTTAATGTACTAGGCTTGTCTCACACATAAAGTTAAACTTCAGTAGAAGATATGAGTGGGTAAGCAAGTTCAACAGGGTTCTGCATATCCAAATCTTGAAATCTTGAAAATGTTGAAAAGTTATTAATACATTACCATAAAGATTCTCAAAGGTTCTGAATCTCTTCTCAGATACATACATTTATAGTCTGATTGGTAATCAGGAATCCTGCCTTACCAAAATGAATAAAAGGTTTGTGGTTCAGATTTCATCACTTTTTTAAAAAAAAATATATGGCCTTTTTCTCATGTAGAGATAGGTTCTATTGTTCATTTACTGAGAGGATACCATTCATTTCCTAAGATTCGGAGATCTACGAAAGCTGAAAGATGCAGGCTGCAAGGGAGAGAAGGAGAATCCTATTGTATGAGAAAGATCTGTTCATATTTCATCCTTTTATTTATTAAGAAAGATCTTAGATTTAGACATCCCTCCTAAGGTAGTGAGGAAGCCTTCTCCCAAGAGTGTTCCACCAAGCACCATTTGTTTTTTCCTAATTAGCAACAGATTAATCCTTAAAAATAATCTGATTTTTGCTTTTCTCTAATTAACAGAGGTGCTTACAGAACTAATCACATGGGGTACAAGAATTTCTGCAGTGCCACTTTTTATATTATTTCTTCCATTGTCTGAAAATCACAGCAATATAAAGCAGCATCATGCCAAAATGATCATTCCTGCTTGATTTTGATGCCATTCATCAATAAAAAGTGTGAAATAATAGCAACAGACATAGACTTATATATAGTCCCATAATGATGGACAGCAGGAGTCCCCAACCACCAGTCTGCAGCCTAGTACTGGTTCACGGCTTTT